TCCCCAGTTTGACAGATGGGAAAACAGAGCAGGAGCTGGGTTTAAATTTTTGCTTGGTTGCTTGCTCTCCACACCAGTCTTTCTCCCCAACTGTGTGTGTTACAGGAAGCGTAAATTACAGCTGGATTATACGTGAACATGTGCCTTGGTTTCATCATATTTAAAATAGATGTCATCGCTCTTGGAATGCTACTGAGTTGGTTCTGGTCTTAAGTGTCATTGGATTTCCTCATTTAGGAAAAATACTAGGAGTTATGGAATCTTTATGAAGCTCTAATTATTTTAGAGCCATGTTATTTACTCCAGAATTATCTCTGTAAGGTTGCACTGCTTTATCACATTTTTAATCGCTTTTTTTCCCTTGCAGCAGACATGGAAGGCAGTTCCTTAAGAAGTCGGGATAAGAGGCTTAGCTTGAATTTGGTAAGGACTCTGCTTGCATAAATTTAAAACATTGGCACATGAGAAACTTCAGAAAGTGAATAATTTCACATCCTGATATTCAATCGTTCCTCTCATGTTCAGCAGAATAAAAAAAAAAAAAAAAAAGGAAGAAGCACTTGGCTTCGGGTAACTTCTGTGCCAGGAAATTTGGCACTGATAGGGCCACTTTTTCATGGCTGCAGAAGCCTTTGAGAGAGGAGGGAGAGGGAGGCCACAACACTGAGCACCCCCTTTTTAAAGCACATGAAGCCAGGTCTGTTGTGGAAAAGGATACCAGTAGCCTCAATAATTAACCTGTTGACCAAAAACACCTGAGAAAACTCCTTATCTCTTGGAAAAAGGGTCTAAAGAAGCCTATCACTTCATGATCCTGAGGGGTATCTCCTCTTTAGACCATAGGAAAGTCTCTGCTCTCAAAGCATGTGTGATTCAGGGCTCTGTCAGCCCAAAGCTTCCTGACTCAGCCTTTGATAGACACGGTTGTATGTAGCACCATCACACATCACATAGCCAGTCTTCTGCCTGGTGCTGGACACTGACTTCTGTGTAGGAGAACCTTTGCTGCTTGTTTGTAAGTTTTGGTGGTGGGCAACTTATATTTTTGTCCCCTTTGAAAGCTTGCAAGGTTTGTAATCAATTCCTCTCACCACTCAGCCAGCTCTAATCTGCATTAAATGAATTTCTAGTGTCTATTCTCAGCTGCCAGAACTAACTCGTATATCTGTGTGTCTGCTTTTTCAGCTTCCATATTTGCAAAAATCTAGTTGATCAGATGTTCTCCTTTCAGGTGTTTTTTTGTATGAAGGATCCTCCTTCTCACTGAAGTTGGAGGATTTAACCTACTTAAGTGACCAATACGTTTGGTCCTTGTTTCCAGCAGCGACTTGCGAAGCTCAGAAGTGGGCTTCTCCAAAGCTGGAGTGTTCATCTGAACTCATGCGTTTGTCTCGTATCTTTCCAGCTTGCGCCTTTCAGAAAGGTCACATCAGGACTCTCCTGGCCTGGGGCTCAGCTCAGATCCATTGCCAGCTCACAGGACCTCCTGGCTTGCAGGGAGTTAGCTATTCATTTATCAACCTGTTTCTCTTTCTTTTCCATCTTTACTTCTGAAGCCCTGTCGGTTCTCCCCGCTCTACTCAACTGCTTCGGACAGCACAGAGGACAGCTACGTGCCCATGCGCCCCAGCACCTCTCCCTCTGCGCCAGGCTCCGACTGTTCGCCCGATGGCTACATCCCCATGAGCCCCGGTTCAGCCACGTTTACCTTCCCTGTCGTCAGCACTGAAAAACTCACCAGCCCGTTACCTGAGCTTCCCTCAGACCTGGAGCCCCCTCCGGTGAACCGAGACCTCAAGCCTCGTAGGAAATGTAAGCCCAGACCTAAAATGCAATTAGCAGCCGGGAGTCCTGATAGCGGGGACATGGGTCACCTCCTTTGATAGTGTCCTTGCACATCTTAAAGTGCTTCCTGCTCTAGAAGAGGGATTGAATTGCTCTATAAGTGGCTTATAGTACTGTAACATAGGATGCATCTGCAGGGTTGTTTGCGAGCAGAGGAAGAGCATCTGTGCCTACTTTTGCAGTTGGAGACTGAGTGGCTGCATTAGCATGGTGCATGGCTTCAGATCCACTCTGACTGCAAATCACCAAATGGATGTAGCCGTGGGGAGACAGCAGACTAAATCCTGGAGCTCTGAAGTACGTGTACTGCTGTCTCACCAGCTCCCTGACCTTCCAGGAATAGGACATCCAAACACTCAAGTACTCAGACTTGATGTGTGGGCTGTTGGTTAAACCTCTGTTGGGTAGGCACCGCTGTCTTGGTTTAATTAGGAATTTCCTGCAGATGCTTTTAGCGATCGTAATTTTCCACTCCTTCTTTTCATGGCATCTCCAAAATAGGGTTTACACTTGCAGAGGATATACTGGGGACAAAATTCAGCTTTGCAGTGGAGAAATTGCCTAAGCCTAGCCTACATTAAAGCTCTTTGGGCTGCAGAGCCACAGGGCTACTCAGAAATTGGTTCAGGAAATTCTACTGTGAAGTGGGAACAGAAATTTAGACCATTGCTAGGAAGCGAAGGAAGCTCAGGTCCTTTCTTAGAGGGTTTTGAGAATGAGGTGGGAAATGTAGATGGGCCTGGTGAGATGAATGATCTTGATCTCCACATGTAGGATCTTTTTGTTTAGAAGGGAGCCCAAAACCTGTTTTGACCTACAGGCTGAGCTGGCCTCTCCTGTTGAAGGCAGCATATGCAGAGCAGATTTGAGACAAGCACACGGGTCTTGCAGAGCATTTGCTCTCCTTATGCCCATTGTATTTATTCTGTTATTTTAGGGTAAATGAGGGACTTTGCTTTCCAGCACTGACTGAAGTGGTCATTTGTTACTGATTTCTGTCTTGGTTGTATCAGTTACGTTCTGTGAAACACTCTGCTAGCTTCTTGCTGTTAATATAAAACTGCATTTTTCTAAACAGTCTGTACTTTTCATTAGCTCTTCTATTAGAAATGTAGTTCCTTTTGTATCTACTTGCAGCACGGCCACCTCCTCTGGACTTGAGGAACCTTTCCACGATCCGGGAGCATGCTGCTGTGACCAGGATGTGGACTGTGCCTTAGTAAGTCAATAAGAAACCTGCCGTTCCAATCTTTTAAGCGTTAACATTGTGCAATGGAGTTAAAAGATAACTTATCACATCCCACAAGAAACAGTTTCCTGGCAAAGTCCACAAACAAAAATTCCCCAGGGCTCCTTCCAGCATCCCTCAGGCTTTTGCTGTCTCTAAAGAGCAAGGCTCCCTTTCATGATGGGCAGCTCCAGCGTGTTCAGCATCACGCAGGGATGCTCAGTCTGTTTTGAAGGTTCCTTTGGAAAAGTCTGGAGCTGGTCTGCACTCTGGTGTGGCTGCTGCAATGGCTAAAAGCTTCGTATGCCTTAATTATTTTTTTTTCAAAGTGATAGAGCCATTCTTATTCTTGAAAATTAATATAGCAAAAGAGAACCAGATAAGATAAAGATCCGCCTGACTTGTAGCCCGGGTGTAGACTTCTGCACTGCCACACAGCAGTTTAGATTTGTTCTGTTGGTGTGACCTTTTGTCACGGGAAATTAGTTGTGGAGTAAAACAAATGCTTTTGGTCCCAAAGCCAAGTATGAACAGATGATACTGTTGGGCTCCAAGGGCAGTGAAAGACTCATCTTCAGGGAACTTGTGAGCAGGGGAGGACTGTAGCCTGCTGGCTGGGGGGATCTCAGCGCTACAGGGAAAAGCTGACAGGAGAGCCAGCTGTGCTGAAGTGTGCATGCAGAAGCCAGGAATTCCCACCAACCTCCTCTCTATACCCTGGGCACTCTGGAAAATGTGTTTTTTCACAAGTGTGAGTGCCAGACAGGACATTTCCGCTCCCTGCACCTAGGGTAGTCATTTGGAAGGCAAAAGGGACATGAGGTGGGCAGTTTCTCAATTGCAGACCCCCCTCAGCCCTACTGTCCAAAGCCAGTTAAGCCCTTTGGCACTGCCTGCCATGTGCTGCCTGTTAGGGAAACCCCAGTAGCCTGCCTCCTGAGCATCCCTGCCAGAGCGCTGTGGTTAATTAGTGCTGACACAGTGCAGAGTCCTGGAGGATAACAAGCTCAGAGGGAGTTTGCATGTTTTACATTAACAAAACTAAAAAAGTAGTATGCCCGGAACTAATAAAGCAAAAGGAATTACACTGTTCATGCTGCACAAAGTGGCCATCTAATTTCCTAATAACTAACCCCATTATGCCGGCCTGCAATAGTTTACTCATGATATACCTCTGTCGGCTATGTTAGTGGTAGAGATTTCCTTGTACAAGGGTTGAGTTGCAGTCTCCTCTATAGCACAGATAGCATGTGTGTACGTTGTGTTCAAAGCCAGACAAGTTCCTCTGCATGCACCTCCAGTAGCAGATTAGTTCACATCAATCTCCAAAATGTGGTTACCCACACAACTAAGTAACTGCGCCATTGGCACATATTACCCCAATGAACGATATCTGTCTCTGTGCCCCTTGTTGGAGAATTGCTCCAATGGTTTATGCTTTCTGTCATAGCAGAGATGGCAAACTTTCATAAATCCCAGAAAAAAAAAAAAAAACAACAAAACAATCAACACTCATAGCAATATAGCACACTTTTTCTAGAACTAAGGAATGGTTTTGGACATCCTCTCCATAAAGGCTGCAGCGTTAGTGTGAGTTTTTTCACCATATGGACTGTGTCAGGCTTTGGCTTCATTTCAGAGCATCTGTAAGATGCTTCCTTAACCTCTCCTGTGTTTTTCTTCATAGCAATCGAATGAGCTTTATCTCACCAGAAAGAGACGGTATTAATTCAGCAAGAATATTTGCCAATTCAGTTTCCGGAGAAGAGGAAGAAAGTTACATTCATATGGTAATCTTCATTTTCACACAGCCATCCTTTGCTTTATTCTGCTCTGTCACATTGATGGAGAATGCAGAAGTTTGTTTTCTAAGAAAAAATGTTGAGGACGTTTGTCCTTTGCCTTCTGTTTTTTAAAAAAATGATGAAACGGTTTTAAACCAAAGACACTGGGACCAATTTACAGAGAGATAAGGGAAGCCCTTCTTCTGCTCTGCAGAACTCAGCTGTTCACCCACGAATGTTGCTGAGCAGTTCCAAGAGATCACAGGGATCAGCCATATTTACATGAGAACTCATTAAGGCAAAGGAAAATTAAATCTTTTCACCTTTTAAAAGTGTGCCCTGCAAAATCTCCTAGGAAATGACAGAAAGCTGTTAGTGCACTTCCTAAAGAAACACACCAAATATTGTGCAGAAACAGAACTCCCATTAAAGTCTCTTATTGCTTCTGCTTTGGCTGGTGGCACTAACCCCACTTCCCATCCCATGAAAGAAGAACATCTGGCTTTGTGGCTTCCTTTTCTTCATTCACTCTTTAGCCATATCTTGCAAAAGACCAGAATCTCAGTTTCCTTTGAATTTTAGGTGGAAATGGATCTCAAATCCCTTGATCTGAGCCAATATCCACAGATTTGACTCCATAGCCAAAGCCCAACAGCAATGGCTCTAGAAATATATTGCAAAACTGACCATAACCTCCATGAACCATAGTCTCAAATGTTAACCCACACCTCTAGCAGATCAAAATCTGTTCAGGAGGGCAGTTCCAGCTGTAACTACTCCCCACTTGATTTTTCTAGTCAAATAAAACCTTCCATACATTTGTGGTCATCTGTGATTTTCCTGAGATTAATTTTTAGTTGCTAAATTTGAACAGAATTATCACCATTTCTTCAAACTCATAGAACGATGATGGTTAAGAGTGCACCCCTGCAAATCTGAGCCTTCCAAAGGCTTGGGTTGAGAAGCTGAGCGCAAGTCCTTCCTGATAGCATCGAATGAAAATCAGCCCGGTTTGCTTGTTTTGCCATGATTACCATGAGAGAGAAAAAGGCTCTCATGGTTTCTTTAATGCCATCCTGAAATTAATCAGTGTTATCCTGTGGTTAGTCACCAAACGCACCCTTGGCATAGAAAATTACGTGGGTGCTGACCCTCCTCGCTCGCTTTCTGCCAGACGAGTCTCCCACCTCACAGTTGTAGCCCTGCTTCCTTCTGGGATCGTGTTTTAAGAGCATTAAAAGTTTCTCTTCTTTCCCGACAGGAACACAGACAGGCAACATCTCCATACAGTGGTGCTTTTCCATGGACAAGGAAATCTAACCTTGATTACTTAGCATTGGATTTTAATTCTGCTTCCCCATCCCCTGTACAGAAGGTATGAGTCACCTGAAAAACCCCACAGCCTCCTATCTTTTTGTCTGCTGGGAGGAAAATGAGACCGAGAGTCAGGCTCTGCTAGGTGCCCTAAGTGTCATGATGAAGCCAGTCGTGTTTCCAGCTGACTGCATTTGTGGCAGACTCAAGATTAATATAATAAAAGCACCATTAGGGTGATGACAAAGTGTCCTTAGTGTGACGCATAGGGATGACATTAACACGAGCTCGGCAGAGGGCACGAGGCTGCACTGGGATATGCAGCCATGGGGCCTTGCGGGCAAGCTTATTGGTGCTTGCAGGATCTCTGCATGCTCTTTCATTTTCATCAAGTCTCCATAAACCCTTTCCTGCTAGTTTTCCACCAAATCTCTTTGCAGTTACAAGTTTACAACCCATGATAAATTCATGGGGTAAAACTGTACCGTCTCTTGTAACACAACAAAATGTGCATCTTTATTCTTGCATCACCAAAAGCATTTCAATTTCCTTAGCAATGCTGAGACAACACATTCCTTGTTTCAAAGATCTTATAACCTGCCCAGGTGGTGGGTAGGTACCATTGCGAAGCAACAAACTGTTGCCGGTTTGGGCCATTTTGTGTCTTGTATATCATTTTCCCCATCAGCCAATACTCCTGGATGCAAAACACTCAAGGCTCCTAAGCTTTCTTAAATTTAAACCCTCCCTTTAGTTAAAATGCAGTTAGGTTGTCCCTGCAGCGGGATCACTCGGATGAGAAGAGTGATTGTCTGCATAGAAATAGCCAGAACAGCACGTTTCCCTCGCTCACTGTGCTGGGCTGAGTGACAGGGTGACAGATGGATAATTATAGCTAAAGCAGGCTGTAAAGCAATGCTTTTGTCAGCTGATGTCACTGTGAGCTTCAAGGTGAAGTGAAGCAATCAAGGAACAAGGGAAAAGGAAAACAGAAAATCAAGCAAAGTTTCACTAGCATCCCTTTTTGACCCTAAAATTAATACATTGGGTTTGTCTTCTCTCTCCCACAGAAACCTTTTCTCTCTGAGGAGCAGAGAGTGGACTATGTCCAGGTAGATGAACAGAAGACTCAAGCTTTACAGAACACTAAGCAGG